GATTGAGTTAATTTATTATTTTTTAAATTAGTTTTAAGCTAGATTTAAGGTATAAATATCTCAGATAAAATATTTAAAAAATATTCTAAATATTTTTTATAACTTATTTTTAAGTATATTTATTAATATAATATTTTTAAAAGGTTTTCAAATAGAAATACATTTTTAGTTCTAAATTATTTTAGTTTAATAATATTCTTAATTTATATCGCAGTGTGTTTTAATTATTTGAGGCGTGTTTTTGGTTGTGTTTATCTGGGCAAACATAAAACAGAAAATGAAAAACCAAATAAACGCTAATTGGAAAAGCATATTTTATATGGACTCTGTTCCTGTTTAGCTTTTCTCTGCCTCCTCCCCTCTACCCCCTCTAACTCCCCCGTCCTGTGGCACGCACTCGTCTTCGGCCCACTCGTAAAAACTGGAAACATTTTTGGGAGAAACGAGAAAAATGTGAGGCAGGGAGGCAGGCAGCAGGCAGGCGACCATAAAAATGTTGTTGGGCAACCCTTTAGCTCTTCGGTTCGGTTTTTGGTTTTGTCTACAAAAACACCAAGTGTCGAAGGGGGGAGAAAAATATACACACTCCATGCCATGCCACGCCACGCCATGCCACTCCACTCCACGCCACAGGGAGTGGGAATTGGTTGTCAAATGAAATGCCGTGTTGGCCATCATGATTATTTCTGACATTTGTGGCAAATGTTTGAACCGAAAACTTTTCTCACTCCTCTCGCGACGACTATTTATAAATAATCAAAATTGTTGACATCAAATTTGGTTGAAGGAGGGAAGGAGACGCCATTTAATTGTTTTATGCTGCCCAATGTTTGTCGCGTAGAAATAAAATCAATTTTAATTACATTTAGTCGCTGACATTTTGATGGGGCAAAGGGGTGGAGTGGGAGGGAGGCCAAGGCTCTTTTCTGGTTTCCCAAAAGGAAACCAGTTCTGTCCAATCCCAAAACCCAATCCTCGCTGTGCTGCTCAATGGTCCGATTCCCAGTTCAAGTCCCAGTTCCAAGCTCTGCTTTTTGGTTTTCTTATTTCTTATTTTTTCTCCTCTTTTTTTTTTGTGTCTCTCCTGTATTCTTATTTTTTCTTACTCTTTTTTTTTTTTTGAAGCTGCATCCTAACGCAAACCTGGAAACTTGTCGTTGGTTTTTTATTTATTTTTTTTTTTATTTTTTTTTTTTTCTCGGAGAGCAACTTGCTGTGAACTCGTTTGGTAGCATTTTGGGTGGGCGAAAGGGGCAGGGATTTGTTGTGTTTGGGGTGCCTTGGAGGAGGTTTTGCAGAGGCGGAGGGGGGCGTCAACATGATTTGCACTACAAAACAAAAAAATTTTTTAAGGAGCAGTCCGTCGCTCCTTTCCAAGTGCACTGGAAATTAAATAGAATATTTTTATTATTTTAAAAATATTTGGAATATGAAAATGTAAGGGTTTCTCATTAATTTTTATAAATATTTAATGTGCAAAGATTTTCTCTAATTTCCATAAATATTGAAAACTTTTTATTATATTTCTTAGTTTTTTTTAGAAATATTTAAAAATAAAATGTCTTAAGTTAATTAATTTTAGGTTTTTTAAATTTTCTTTAAAAATTTCAAGCTTTACAAATTCTTATAAATTTTATAAATAAATAAATTTCAAGCTTTATAAATTTTTGTAAATTTTATAAATATTTAAAATTAAAAAAAATACATCTATATACATTTTAGTTAATTGTTTAAATAACTTTCAGTTAATTTTCAAGCTTTTTAAAGTTAAAGAAATATTTTCTTAATATTTTTTTAAATTCGAAATATTATTTGTACATGAATTACATGCCTTGGGCTTAGTTTAAGTATTTAATTTCATATTATTCCCAGTGCATCTTGCCTGGGCCGCGTTGCTGCCTCTTTTTCGCGCTGCATTTTTCGCGTAGGCCGCCCCGAGAGTGCAGCGAACTTGGTAGCCGGAGCGGAGATTAATGCTCCTCACAGACAAAACTCAGCTGGAATATTTCTCTGGACGAACGAACTCGTTGTGTTTCGTGCCTGTGGCCAGTAAATTTTGAGCTGTTTTTGCTTTTGGCCGCCCAGGCCAACAAGTAGATTTCGTATCAGCGAAGAGATGCGTTTTAAGCCAGCAACAGTAGTAGATATTTGGCCAGCAGATTTCCTAGAAGAGAAAGAGAGAGAGAGGAGGATCAATCATAGGAATGTCTGGGATTTTCCAGTGAACATATATGAAAATTCTCAGTATCAGTTAGATGGATTTAGGAACAGATAACAGGCACTGAAAGCTGTGAGATAATTTTAAATAGGCTTAAATTAAAAGGGATTGAATAAAGAAAAGATAATCTTTTCTGCAAGTAATTGATTTTCTTTAAAATTATAATTTTAAATTATTATAATAATTAATACTCTCAAAAAGAAGCATAAAAACTCTAAAAAAAATCTCCCAAAAATGTCTTTAATATTCTCAAGGGAATTGAAAAAATTTGGGGTTAAAAATTCCAAGAAAATTATAACCAAAAAATTTCAATGAAATTCCTTTAACTTTTTTTCTCTTCTTATTTTATTTTTTTATTTTTGTTTTTTTATTTTTAGCTCAAATATTCCCTTTTAACACTTGTCATAATTTGTTCATATTTCATTCAATTTTTTTTTTTCGAACAGCAATTATGCGATTACATAGCTTTTTTTTCTCTCTTCCTTTGTTTTGTTGTTGTTGAATTGTTGTAATTGTTGAAATTTTTTCAACGACAACCAGGGATTTAAAAGAGTTCTTTGTCTCGTTTTTTGCTTGGCTTTTAATGAACGTGAAATTATATTTCATTAGCCGGGCGCTGTGAGAAGATATAAAAACAACAACAAAAAAACGAAATGTATCTATTGAATGTATTCGCTTCACTGGCGCGGAATGTGCTAGTTCATTGCGTTGTGTTAATTAATAAACGCCTCAAAAAATCAGGCAGTTGTTCGATGTTTGATTAATGGCAATTTGCCAGGTTCAAAGATACATTTTGTATCTCACACAGAAAATAGTGGCAACCAATTGTTGCGGTTGAGATACAATGTATCTGGTAGAATAAACATTACACTGGATAAAGTTTTTAGAGATTTGTAATAGAAAATAAATATATAATATAACTTATTAAAGTCAGAAGCTGTGGGAAATATAAATATAAAACAAAATCTAAGATATTTCCTTAGTTTTTTATTGATTTCTCTCTGTGCACTTGTATTTCCTGCATTTGTATCTCTATCTTTGCATTGCTGCATCTCTGCATCTCTGCGGTTCATTTGAGGTGTCTCTGTCTGGCAAAAGCCTTTTTAGGTATTATTTCCAATACCTAGCTGCCCTTTTCTTCACTTGGATCTCCCCTACTACCTCTATTTTGATTGATTTTGATTCACTTGGTGTCCATTGTTGTTGCTGCTGCTGCCTGGGTGTTATTCAATTTTTGTGCCATATCATAAATTTAATTTGAGATGAAAATCCCAAAGATATGCCGCATTATCCGGATGGTAGAGCTCGTGCTGCTGCGTGTATCTGTATCCCACAGATACATTTTTCGATCTCCTTCACAATAACGGATTACATTCGAAATTGTTTGGCGCCCGTCCCAACTTGAGAGTTTTCCCCTCCAATGTATCCCCCCTCCCGAGTGTTTTTCCAATATTACACGATGACTTTGAATATTTTTCTGTGTGTGTGTGTGTGGTGAACATCATGGGTGGGATTTTGTGATTAGAGCGATACACACACACACTGGTGTGTCTGGTCCAGTCCAATCGGATAAAGAGGGCGGCAAGTGTAACAAATATGTTCAGTCGGACATGAGACTACAAACTGCTGCCAGGCAGGCAGGGAGGCTGAAGGGGGGGGAGATACCAAAATGGAATCCACACTTATTCTGATTGTTTGCCGAGCTCCCTACTACCTCCAGCTCCCTCCTCCAGCTCCCTCCTCCTACTCCCTCCTCCCCCTCGATGGCTGCTGCAGAAAACCAGTTTTCAGTTTGGTTATTTGAACGGATGCATCCACCACGGGCCAAGAATGATTTTTGGTTTGGCAATTTCCAAAAGGGGGAAATCGATAAATATATATTTTTGGGAGGCAACTGCAACTGCATACAGCTTCCTCGATTGGTAGGATCAGAACCGATTAGGGAGATGCCTGCTACTGCGAAAAATAATTAACATTTTGCCAAGCGTTTTGTTGTTACCCACAATCAATCCCGGAAATGAATGGAAATTAAAGAGAATTTGGAGGGTATTCATTTTTTTTTAAGAGTTTCAATTATTTACAAGTTCTTAGGTATTTTTGTAGGTCAGTTATATATTTAAATACTTTTTTTTTAATTATAAAAAAATGCCTTTTTCTTTTTTAAGCTTAAATATAAATATTTTACAGAATTAAATAGTATAAAGAATTAATTATAAATAAGTTTTTTCGAGGTTAAAATAATTTTTAAGTCTGTTGTAAGTTCTAAAATATATATTTTGGCATACTTTTAAAATATTAAAAAAATATTTTAACCAATAAATAAAAAAAAAAATTAAAAAATAAATAAAAACAAAATAAATTAAAAGTACAATAAAATCTTGAAGTACTTAAAAAGAATTATAAATAATTTATAATCAATTTTTTATTTAGAATTAATTTATAAGTCTTTTTTAAGGTCTAAAATATATTTAGGCATTTTTTTTTTAATTAAAAGAAAGGTATTTTGGCCAATAAATAAAATACATTAAAATCCAAGTAAAATAAAATCTTAAAAAAAATAATAATAATAAATAAATAATTAATTAATAATAAATGTAAAAATAATAAAATATGCAATAATAAATAATATAAACTACTTATAAAAATCTTAAAAAAAAACCAAAATAAACTACAACGAAAACTCCCAGTTGAAAGCGTAACAAAAGGTCACCAGGTTGTTGTTGTTGTCACCCAAGACAACACCCACTTATATATTTATATATAAATTCTATTCCCCATTCAGATCTGCTGCCATCATGAAGACTATATGAAAAATACAAGAGAAAATCCACAAAAAAGAGAGAATACAATTAAAAGGATAAAGGAGCAGGAAATTAACGAAGGGAAATCCGGTAGATAAGGATTTCGACCTGAAGTTATAGGATTTTCTCATTCGATCAAAGCGATACCTTTTTTTTTTTGTTTTCTATAATTTTTTTTTTTTTTTTTTTGGTGGCGCCATGCCACCTAGGCCCCACGGGCCCCCCCTGCCCCTGTCCATGTCTCGTACGGGGTGCAGTCACAGTAATTGTAATAATTACAATTAAAATAAGCGACTGAAAAACAAAACGAAATTAAAAAAAAAAAAGGAATACAATATCAAATAAATAAATAAAAATTATATAACAAATAGCCGCCATAAATCGTGAAGTGAAGTGCACTCGCAGTCGCAGTGTCGGCGGCACAGTGAATTCCAGACACAAAATGACTATGAAATCGATGAAGTACTCCGATTGTGATACCATCATGGATGGCTACAATCCGGTGCCGCCGCCCCTGCCCCGCCGAGTGCCCCCCGTGCGAAATATATACGCCGAGCCCTTTGCCCACGAGCCGAACCATTCCAGCAGGTAAATATTGAAGGAGAAAAATTCTAAAAAAATATTTTGAAATAAAAGTATTATAGTTAATATTAGGAAATTATATTTTTAGAGTCTTAAATTAATAAAAATATATTTTTTATAAATTAAATTTGGCTTTGAAGAAGATTTTAATATTTATTATTTTTAGTAAAGAAAGAAATTAAAAAATTATTAAATAAAAAGAAAAATAAATAAATAATTAATGAATTAATTAATTATTATTAGTTAACAAATATTTTCACATAAATTTATTTTTATAAATAACATGAAAAATATGAACATTAAAAATCATGATAAGCTTAAAAAATAAATATTTGAATCAATTTAAAAATCGAAAAATTCAATATATTTCTACTTAATTTTCGAAAAATATATTTTTAAAAAATATATTAACTTTCAAAAAACTTTAAAAAAATATAAGAAATTATTATTTAATATAACATATGGTACAATAATAAAAATAGGTATTAAAATAATATTTAAAAAGTATATAAAATAATTTTACGATTTTATAATAGGCATTTTTCAATTTTAAATATTAAATACCAAATTTTTTAAGCAAACATTTCAATCAATAGAAATCTTGAAGTATGAAATTCAAATTATTTCTGCGTCTGTGATTTAATAATTTAAATATTTTTAAATGAAAATATTCGCTTAATAAATGTACTACTTGTAGGTATTAAATTTCTTGTAGTGTTTTTTTCACCTGCAAATAATTGCAATTAAGTCAAGTGTCATCGCGAATTTACGGCGCCATCAAAATGCCACAGACAAAGTCAAACGGCGATTATGTGCAGCAGGAGCAGGATGATGAGTAGGAGCCACAGGTCAACTCGGGTCAACAAAATAGCCAAGTTGCTGATAAAATCATTGGCCAAAATATTGCCTCGGTTTTAGGACTTAATTAACATTCAAGTCCCCGGGTCTGTTGGGTTTAAGTTGTGCAGAGTGCAAAGTGCATTTCTGAAATTTAATATGTGTAATATGCCCAGGCAAACGGCTTTTACACACTTGCTTTGAACCCTAATTAAACGCTAGGAAATCAAATGTAATTTCAAGTGAAATGCCTTCGATCATAATTAAAATGTATATATTATTTTCAATTGTAGAACATTTTGTGTGTTGTTTGTTCAAAGAACAAAAGTAATTGCAAGCCAAAGGTTGTTATTATTTTGTTGAAATCTAATATGAGCAACTAAATTGGACAACTGGATACATTATTTCATAAACAAAATGTGTCCGTGTCAATTATGATTCCCTTCGATTAGCAGCAATAAATGCTCAATTTCTCTGTGTTTCTGTTGTAAGTCTTAAAAAGTGTTAACTAGCCAATTAGTTTCGATAGTTTAAACAATAATTGGAAACAAGAGAGAACTTTGTGGGTATATTATCCTGGGAACACGATAAATATTTCCCTGTTTGAAAAGGGTGTCACCCAAAAGGTGTTGTTATGTTTTTCTCTGTGAGAACAGAAGAACGAGTTTCATTTGTAAAAAACTCCATTCTTTGGCGCAATCATCGCCAATTCAAACGCAAGAAACTGGAACACAATTGCAATAAACGCACGCCTCGCTGAGTAGCTCCTATATATTTGTTTCCTTTTTTTTTCCACATGCCACAGAGTTGCATATTAAAAAAGGGAAAAATATCCGAGTGTGTGTGGAGGCGAAGAGCGCAGATGATAAAGAAATGTCCCATATAAAGCGGCGTGAGTCGAGTGTACAATATGCATTTTCATATCTGAATAAATAGACAGGCGAGAGGTGCGGAGTTGCTCTTCTTCTGGCAGGGATATAATATATATATGTATATCTATATGGTATATATCACGGCCCACAACAATGCCCCGAGGAGGAGGAGGAGGAGTGAAGCCCGGTAACGAGGGCAGACAGATGGAAGAGCTTACCAGGACGAAAGCGAGGATGAGGGAGCAACAGCGGACAAGTGGTAACCAACAGTCAGCCAACTGATACAAGAGGCTGTCTGCACTAAGAAAAAAATGTCCATTTCAAATGGTTAAAAATTCATTAAAAGAAATTTAAATTATACAAACTCCAAAGAAAACAAAGTTGCCTAAGGACTCTATTAAAAATAGAACCAATAGAGCTTAGTTTTAAAGCAAAACAGTGTTCCCTCTCTGTTCACTCTTTCTCTCTCTGTCTTTCGGTCTTTCTTTCTCTCCCTCTCTCTCCCTCTCTCTCCCTCTATTTGCCTCGCATTCTTTCATTCTCTCTTGAATGCTTCACCTGCAATGTACTAGCAAACGAGAGAGTTTATTTTTAGCTGCTCTTTGAGAGTATTTAAAATGTTGATCAAAATCAATTTTCGTTCTCTCATTTCTTGCCTGCAATGTACTAGCATGAGAGTTCCTCCTCCACAAGAAGGAGACCATTCTCTTAAGTTCCTTTTTCTGTATGTTTTACAGAGCGGAATCGAATGATCAGAACATATGTTCACTGTTTACTGCTATAACTTTTCTCCCTGTGAACGAAAAAAATATATAAAAAAAGTGGGCAATGTGGGCGTGGCTATGGCTATAGCTTTTGGGTGGCTGGTTATTCGGCAGTGTGGCGCAATATGTTTGCCTGTCAGTTTCATGCATTTCATATCGAAAACCATTCGTACTTTTACTTGAGTGAGTTTTATGAGCAACGAGCCGAGCCTGTACACTCTCTCACACACACACACACACACACACATATGAGGATGAGGATGCTCCACTGGCTACATTGTGTTGTATCCTTTTTCCTATCCAGTTCAAAATGGGATAGTTGCTGGATTGCGGCGGGGATTTTTCGAGAACACGGTTGAGGGGGAGAGAGAGTGTCGAGGCGGACGACATCAGTGGCCCCGTTTATATGCATAGTTTTTGGTTGCTACTGCGATTGCAAACTGCGAAGTGGGTTAGATTGTGTTCCGCTGGCTCTGTGCCTGGGCACGCTTTGCTTTTATATTAAATGAAAATTCCAATTACTTTTTATGGGGACTACTACTGCCAATGGAATAAAAGAGGCGGTTACACTTTGGCCTCAAACTTGACTAGGGATTAAAAAGAAAAAGAGATTATTAAAGAGCGAGGAAGATTAAAAAGAGAGATCATTAAAGAGAGAAAATAGAAAAAGAGATTATTAATGAGAGAAGATAGAAAAAGAGATTACTAAAGACCGAAGAAGATAAAAAAAAAAGAAATTATTAAAGAAGATAAAAAAGAGAGATCATTGAAAAGCGTAGAGATCTTAGAGGGTTAGGTAAATTATAATTGATAAATATTTATTAAGATTTTTTAGAGATCTATACTTTTTTAAAGTATTAAAATCGAAGCTTTATACCCTTCTCTCTCGTTTTCTCTTTGAGGTAGCGAACGGGAGAGTTTTTATTTTGTTAAACTCTGAGTGAGTTTCTCTCCAAAAAAAATTCTTGATTAATTTTGGGATATAATATGCAAGGCTCTCTCAGAGCACACCGAAACAAAAACTCTCTCTCGTTTTTTCTTTGACGTAGCGAACGGGAGAGTTTCTATTTTTTTACTGCTCTCTAAGAGAGCAGAGTCACATAATTTTGCTCTGTGCTTGATTAAAGCCCCTTGAATGTCAAAGTTCCCCTCGAATGCAAACCGAAAAAAAATTACAATAAATATTTCTCTTTCTCTTCTTCTCTCCCACTCTCTCCACTTGTAGGTAAGTTATGGAATACGAATATATGTATATATATTTATATATATAGAGGAGAGCCTGCATATTTGAGGAGGTGCCTAGGCTAGGTTCCTGGAACTGAAAGTGGAGCTGGTGGGGAATTTAATAATTCAAGTGGCCGGTGAGGGCGAAGGCCTCTCTAATGACCTACTTGAAAACAAACAACAACAGTGTAACGGAAAAGAGAGAGAAAAAAAGAGTATTGCCGAGGGTGGTAGGGTGGGTGGTACGTACCTACCTACCTGTACCCACCTATTCGCACATAAGTAATTTGTGTGTGCTTCATGTGGGGGTCAGGTGGTTTGCCAGAAACTTGTTTAGTTTTCGGTTTGGCTTAGTTCGGTTTCAGTTCAGTTTTCAGTTGAGTTTTCCGTTTTCAGTTTTCAGTTTCCCCGTTTTCAGTTGAGTTGCAGTAGTTTTTTTTCTATTTACAATTTTCAGTTGCAAGTTGAGTTTTGAGCTTTTTCGGTGTTTGACTTGCTGCAAGTTGTATTTGAAGTACATTTCGCAGAATATGCTGTGTGGAAAGTAACTAACCCCTTGACCTAGTCCAATCAATATCCTTTTTGGCAAACATTCATCTTGGCTGGCATTATGAGTGAAATGCTGAGCTTTGCTTACCTCCTGGTCTTGATTTCATATAATTTTCTTGTTTTTTTGCTTTCCACACACAAACACAAAAGAGACAAGAGTCACAAGGAAAAATCCAAACAGGACACATATCATATATCCTGCCATAAACTATATACCTCTTGTGTGTGTGTGTGTTGTGTGTGTTGGCTGGGGGGTAGAGAGTCAGTCACAACTCGATTTTGCTCGTTAGACAACATTTGTTTCGGACAGTTGGCAACTAATTTGTTTTGAAATGGATGTCGAGTGTGTGTGTGTGTCCTCGACGACCCCCAGGACGAGGCAATGGCAAGAAGGTTCACTGCCAGCAAATTGAATAAAGCACAAAAAAAAAAAAAAAAGGAAATAAGGGAAAAGATCCCCTGAAAATAAGGACAAGACAGAGTCAAGCCTGTCCCCTGTAAATATTATGCTAGAATTTTGATAGATTTTGGTAAGGTTAAAGTGGAGGGAGGGGGTTTGGGTTGGGGTAGATTTTATCCCCTCTTTTGGTCTTTAGAAAACCAATTGAGTGTCTTTCCCTTATAAAATATATAAAAAGAAAAGTAAAAAATGCCATATTTAAATATTTATCAAATCCTTTTATCATTTTTTACTTGCATATAAATTTATTTCTTGATATCAGAACTATTTCCTGCTTTTTGGTTACTTGAAATTGGATAATAAACGCTGCTTTAGGTCTTTGGCTGTGGCCGATTTCTCAGATTCTCCACTAAAGGCTGACACATTGTCCTCGTTGCCTAAATAATATTTTAAAAAAATTAAATTTTAAATGAAATTTGATTAGAAAATATAACATTACTCACCTGGCAACATTCTGTGCTTGCTTCTCTTGTAAATTCGCTGACTTTTCTTGCTCTGTAAACTTCGTGAACTACTAGTCCTTGAAGGTGGAAGACTGGTAATCAAACTCCTACTTCGACTTGGTGTTCTCACAATCGTAGAACTACTAGCTTTTGGAGTTGCTGGTTGGCTGGTGATTAAACTACGACTTTGACTTGGTATTTGGGCAATTGTCACCGATTTACTGGACATTTTTCTGCGGGGAAACGATGATGTTGAAGAAGCGGTGGCCGTCAAAAGATTTCCAGTGACCGCCGCCTTGTTGCTGCTTCCGGGCAAGGATAAAATTGGTGCTGAAATGGAGCTACTAGGTGGCAGCATTAAACGCAGATCCTGATTCTCCTGAAAGAGCCGAGCTCGCAGATTTTTTAAACCCTCCATTTGGGACAATCTATGCTCTTCCATGACCCTTAAATTATTTTTTGCCCGCTCTAAAATATCAAAAACTCTGCCCAATTGTTTGCTCTTCTCCTGCTGGCCACGATTGTGGGCCTCGAGTCGTCCTGAGATGGGATTCGGGGATCCACCCGAGCTGGATGGTGTAGGGTTCTTGTCATTTTCCTTGTATTTTTCTAAATTCTGATTGGCCATGGTTTTTCCAGATTTGAATTTTGATTTGTGGAATTTTGAATTTAGTATTTATCAAAAAAATAACACTCGGTTCAAGGTCTACTTTTATATATTTATTGAATTGCAATGGCCACTCTAAAATATATATAAAATAAATAAACAATAAATTGGAGTTGCGTTTTTATGGCCACTCTCCAGTGGCCTTTTAGCCAACTCTCAAATTGGTCCAACTATTAAAGTGAAAAACTTTTTACCAGCTTTTTACCAGTTTATGCCAGCTTTTCCCCCCCAGTTTTTCCTTGCTTTTCCTCCGCCTCTCTCTCTCATATTTTGGCAGACAAACTTCAAACTATTGTTGTGGCAAGTCAATGAACTGGCAAAATCGCCTAATATTTCCACACTCCCAGACACTTGTCGTCCGTCCGTTCGTCCTCCTGTTTGAAAATGAAAAAAAAAGAAAAGAGGAGTTTTTCCCCTGGAAGCTTCATGTTTTGTGCTCTGAATGGCCAAGTATATTAAAAGTCTATTTCTTTTGGCAAGACAATAAAGTAGCGCGAGGGCGCCAGGCGAAAGGACAAAGGCACACGAGAGAAGATGGAGTAGTATGTAGTTGTAGTAGTAGTAGGTGGCCAAGGATTCACGGACTTATGGCGGCTCCTGGCCAGGACTTTGGGTTCTGTGAAGGGGGGACTGTCGGTTCTGGATGGCTATTGTTCTACTTCGCGAAAATAGCGCACATAAAAAGCCAAAGAACGACGGCCATAAATGATAAAAAAAAGGGGCAACCCAGAGGCGCAGAAAATTGGGTAGAAAAGGGGGGGAGAGAGAAAGATAGAGAATTGGAGAGTTGGTCTGAGAGAGAGAGAAGAAGAATTGCCAAGGCAGGGGAGAAGAAACTGAAGCCGAAGTGGGGATAAATGACAGCCAACTGGCAGTCAGACAGAGGCGTGCACCCAAGGGGGGGTCGGGAAGAGCCAGAAGAAAGACGCAACAAAAAACAGGGAGAAAACCAGAGAAAACCCCCCTAAATACGGGAGGGAAAAAAGGGTGAATCAAGGGAAAAGGAGAAGAAATGGAAGGGAAAACGAAGGAAACACGCGGCAAGGAAAAAGGCCACTAAAATACAATGAAATGCCAGGCCCGACATTCGACATTTTCCAGGGACCCCCACACCCCTGCTCCCTACGCCCCTGTCAATGCCAGCAATGTCTACAAGGAAAAGGGTTAAAAATGTTTCATTGCCTCGACAGGACTGCGAAGACAACATATGCCAATAATTTACGCAATTTAGACAAAGCAAAAAAAAAAGAGACAAAAAGTAAAGGGGAAAAAATAAAACCAAAAACAAGACAAACCCAGACCAACCGAAAGGAAAATGGGGCCCCAAAAGAATATTTTCTCAAGGCAAATCCATCAGGGGACAAGCAAGAGTTGGGACCCCAAGCAAAAGCCAAAACCTAGCCAAAAACCACCCAAAACCCAACCAAAACCCACCCAAAGACGCCACCCAAAACCCATCCAGAACCCACCCAAAACCCCCCTCAAAAACCCCACCCTTTAACCCCTTCCCAAAAAGCAAACCGAATTGATGCTCAATTTTATATTTTAAATGTTATTCAAATTGTGTCACATTTCTCAGTGTAATGGCTTGGAATTGTCTGCAGAGCAGAGAATCAACCAAAAAAAATATAAAAAAAAGAAAAGGGTTCCAACCACGCCCTTTTCGCCCACTTAACCCCCCCTTTATGTGTTGCGGCTTGTTTTTTTGGAGTAAAAGAAACTCCCCTCGAATCGTTGCTCATTGCGCCTAACCCCCATTTTATTTATTGACTCTCATTTCTCCCCCGGGGGGTTGCTACACGTACTATGTATCCACTATATAGTATTGGGAGTATAGGGAGGAGAGGAGATGCCATAGAAATGAGCGATGCTCGGGCGATTTACAATGCGCTAAGTTAATTAGCCGCAGCCAAACGACAACGACGACCACGACGACGACAATAAGAACGAAGAGTTGGCCATCGCAACTGACCCTCAAAGGTTGCCAAAGGCAAAGGCAAAGGGCCAGGCGTTTACTTTTGCGGAAATTGCGTCATTAACAGGCGCTTAGTATAGTTTTTGTGTGATGTATAAATACAATAGGGATATATATGTATGTGCATATAAATACCCTTCAGTTCCAGAATTCCTGGCCCGTCCGATTCCTCGCGGTATGTTCGAAAAACAAAAACAAATTACATGGGCCTCGTTCAGCGAAGTTCGAAACAAAATAGCCGAAACAAATTCTACCTACGCTCGGCTACTGCCGAGGGCTTCACGAAGTTCGATCCTCATATTTGTTATTGTTTTCGATCTCTGTTCGAAGCAGCGGTTGCGAGAGTTCGTAAATTAGAGAGAGATGGAGATGGAAGGAAGGGAGGAAAGAAAATTGGTGTAAAAAACAAAGAGTATTGCACCGACGGCAGAATGACCTTTTTAAAATAAGTAGGAATATTTAAAAATATTAAAGATTATATTTAATTAATTTTTACGTATAAAATCATGTGGTATATAAGCACTTAAGAAAATGTGCTTTTGACTTGGCCGAAATGTTCACGTTTGATTATCAGCCCTTTGTGAATCTAATTACAAGGCATTGCCTTGTCGGCTATACCCTGACACGCGAGAATTTTCGGTCTTCGGTTTTGTCTTCTAATTCTCTTTGCATTTTGAGTTGACTGCTGTTGCATTCAGAAGTGTTTTGCGTATTAGTTGCGTAAAAATGAAATATTATAAGGTAAGTGGAACTTATTTGCATTCAATTATTAATTTTAATTGCAGAATTGACGATTAAAATGGATGCGACTTCAACCTAGACGGTGTGAATGGGATTTAGTACGGATTTACGAAGTTTTTTTGTCCAGTTTAAGTTGGTATGTATAAATTTGTGCAAAGTACTGCAATTTACGATTTGACATATGTATGTATTTAATTTACAGATAGAACAAGTTCCTTAAAGGACCCAGCAGCCGGCAGAGAAGGCTCCGTGACACGCAGTTACATAAATACATATATGTATGTACATACATATGTTTAATTATGCAGAAATATGTAATGCTACCAGAAAAAGTGAACATAAATAAAAATTTACAATCCATAAATAAATAAGGAATAAATTACATCTGATTTTTACTAGGAAGGGGGGGATTTTTCAGGAATTTTCTATAGGTTTTCATCTGGGATTCCTGGCGGATTCCGCTAGCGAATCCCGCGGGATTTCTCGACGATTCCCGCAGGTTTCCTTGACGATGCCCGCCAGCCATTCCCGCGGGATTCCTCGTCGATTCCTGCAGGATTCGAGTTCGAAATTCCCGGGGACTGTCCCGGGGGATTGGTGCGGATTCCTGGCGGAATTTCGAGATCCTCGCCAGGAGTACCCTATGTATGAAAGTTCCTCGCCGCGTTGTATGGACGGTCCCGCGGGATTCCGCGGGAACTTATCCCGGTGCCCGGAGGAATCCTTCGGGAATCCGGGAGGAATGGAACTGAAGGGTATATATAAATATATGTGCATGTATTAGTTACACAGCTAAGGTCAAGATAAGAGGATACAAATTATTTTTTAAACCTTTTTTTTTGAGATAAATAATTAAAGGGAAAAAAAAAAATAATAAATAAAAATGAATAAATTAAATAAATAAAAAAATAAATAAAATAAATTAATAGAAAATAAAAATAATAATAATTAATAATAATAAATAATAATTAATTAATAATAAATTAATAATAATAGTTAATAATAATAAGAAAACATAACAGATACAAATTTACCCTTTTTTTATAAAAAAAAATCTTGAAACATGTAAAAAAAATCCCCTTTTAAACACCACTCACTATAGTTATGACCATAATCGTATATCGGATATATATTCATTCCTCTCCCCCCCACATCCCCCCTTAAATGTTAAGACATTAACCCTAAGACCTTTGATTAATGCCGGCTCAAAAGACACACACAAAAAGGGAGGCGAACAAAGCGAAGGAACAAAGTCTCGGTAATGAGACTGCCATTTCGATGATATGACATCTTGTGTTTTGTTTTGTGTGTTGGGCTCTCCACTCGACTGGAGAGAAGTAGGAAGGACCCCTGAAGGACCTCTTTTGCACCCATCTCAATTACAGTCCTTCAGCGTGTGTAGGAGTCATCTTCTTATTTATCTGCACCCAAAAACCCAATTCCTTGGTCATTTCACCTGCCTTCGGGGTGAAAGGTAGCTCCTTAACCTACCTACTGCCACTGCTAATGATGTCCAATTCGGTGTTCGATCCGGGAGCAACTGTTCTGTTCCCCCGGAGGCCAGGTGAGACGGCAGAACAAATGAAAACAAATCCGATTGAAGGTGGTGGTGCCCTGCCTGCCTGACTTGTGGTCTCTGAAGTAGAGGTGGTTTGTGCTGGTGGACTACATGAGACATTTCAAGCACTAAACACAGTACATCCTTGCCGGCTAATTGGACAAGTGAAAGTGAAATGAGCTACCAACTTTGGAATTAGAAAGAAAACACACAAAAAAAAAAAAAAAATGAGGGGAGTAGGAGAACCCTTAGATGGCCAAACTAATGGGATTCTGGGAAAATAAACATGTCTCATAATTGAAGCTCTTGTTTTTATGGGAATGTGAAAAGTTAAACTTAATGAAATGTTTGTTTAAGAGGGTTTTTTTCTTGTAATTTTAAGAGATAGCTTGAGGCATAGGTTTTTAAAGATTTTAAGGAATATATGTACATATATCCTTTGCCGATGTTTTATATATATATATATATATATATATATATTGGTAATTTTTCTTTAAAATAATAAAATAAAAAGCTTTCAAAAGCAAATTCTAAATGCTATTTTAAAAGATTTTAAAATTTCTTGAGATGTTAACCCTAAATTCGTACTTGGGAATTCTAAATTTACTTTTCAAGCTTTAAAAACCTTTTGCCTTTTAAACCAAAAATGTTTTATTTACTTTTCATCTTTGTTTTTCTTTCCAAACGCTTTTTTAAACCTCTCTAAAAATCTTGAAAAATAGTTAAAGATAATCCCCAACCTTATCCCCATTTTCTCGCAGTGCAAACTGCTAATCAGACGCACTCCTTGCTCGACTAATGCCAAGTCAAAGGGAAAAGCTTTTCGACGACGCCAACGTCGCCACCTTTTCCCTTTTCAGTTTTCCTTACTTTATTTTCACGCTTCCACTTGGCAGTTTCAGTTTCGGTTTCGGTTTCAGTGTCAAAGTCAGAGAGTTCGGGTCAAAAGGCGCATCAATGCTACTGAGCATATTTTGCGGTCGCCCCGCTTTTCCATTTTCCTTACTACTCTTTTTTTATTATTTTACTTTGCTTTTTTTTCTGTATTTCTTCTCTTTGGAGAAGAACTTTCTGTGTGTGCCATGATGCTGCACAAAAAACTTCCGACAACAATTCTGCAAACGCAAGCAGGAAAACATAAATCTGGCTAAAGCTAAAACGCAAACTTTTATTTAAAAAAAATGGAAAAAAAAGATAGAAAAGAGGGTCAGGGCTAAGGAAGAAAATAAAAAATAAAAGCTGGAATTTTGTGTGAGTGCGTGCAAGTGATAGAGGGATTGGATAAAACAGAGAGAGAGAGAGAGAGAGACGACGAGTGAGTGGTCCCTGGTTGGAGTTTTAAGATTGGCCAAGAGGTCTCCCAAGTTTTACTTGAAGCCAACTAGGTCGACTTGGGAGTAACGCTGCTTCTTTAAAAAAAAAATTAAATAAAATATTAAATAAAAGTAGAAAAAGGGTGTAGGGTCATTTTAAATTTTTTAAAATTATTTTAAAGGGTTTTTTGGAAAGAAAAATCTTTACAATAACTTTGTATATTTATTTTAAAAGAAATAAAATAATAAATAAATAGAGAAAAGGTTGTACAATTTTTAGAATTATTTTTAAGGCCAGAAAAATCTTTATAATAATTCTCTGCTATATTTATTGAAGAGAAAAAACCAAAAAATATGTATAAAAACAAAGGAAAAACTACAAAACAATTTTTTAAAATTATTATAAAATTTCAATACAGTTGCAGGGTCATTTTAGAAACATTCTAAATAATCATAAAAAAATGCTAAAAACAACCAAAGAAAAGGCAGTGACTTGTTTTCAAAGAGAGAAAAAGTATCTTGGTATCTCTCTAATTTCCTTTTCTTTTTTTTTTTTAAGCAAATGTCCACATTTTGACCATTTGAAATCCAAACAGGCAACTTTTATGCCACTGACGTGTGTGTGTTTTTTATTTTTTTATTTTTGTTGTATTACGTGTGTGTGCGCTTTTTTCAGTACTTCTTTGGTTATTTTTTCTCTTTTTTTTTTTTTTTTTGTGCGGAACAGACTTTGGCTGCCATTCCGACTTGAGCTTGAAATTTTGCAACATGCCTTCGACATCTCTTGGGTATTTTTACGACCATCACAGAGACGGGCCAAAAAGACTGACCACAAAAAGCAAAGGCGCCCAAGAGCCGCGACCTGTCCTGCCCCGCCCCGTCCTCCTTCTATTTTTTTTTTCTGGTTTCGGTTCTGGTTTAGGTTTAAAGATACAAAAAGACTTGCAGGGGGCAGCAGCTTCTTCCTCAAATGGATTTGGACAGAAACAAACACAGCCAAAATAAGAAGAAAAAAAAGAAGGAAAAGAAATGGGGAAAAATGTATAAAAAACACAGATACACAGTGCAGGAAAATGGATAGGAAGTGGCTATAGGGGGAGGAGGAGGGGATTGGGAATGATGATGCACGTGATGCGATTCATCGCTGGCTTAGCAAAGATACAAAGATACAAACAACCGAGAAACAACTAGAACAAATAGCGTTGCCAAGTAAATGCTGATGTCTAGTATTTAAAAAAGCCAAAAAATATATTTAAAACAAATTTAAAAACTAGCTAAAATTTAAATTAGGGTTTTAGCTTATTAAAAAAAATATTTAAATATATTAAAAGTAAAATTTAGAAATTGTGAAAATGTTAGGGTGTCAGAATTTCACTTTCAGATTCCAAAAGTCAACATTTTTAATAAAAAAAATATATAAATATAAAAAATAAATATATATAAATATAAATAAATATAAATAAATATAAATAATTATAAATAAATATAAATATTTATAAATAAATATATAAATAAATATAAATAATTAAAAATAAATATTAAAAAAATATAAATGAATATAAATAAATAAAAATTTTATTATAAACATTTTAAATATTAATTAACAAATATAAATTTTATTTCTCTATAAATATTTATTTATTAAAAATAAATTCTAAAATTATTTAAAAAATTTTAAAAAATCTATTTAATAAATCTATATATAATTGCTTAATTTTTTTGTATAGAAACTGTTTCTTAGCTTAAAAAATTCTTTAAAATTTCCAAATAACATAGCTAAAAAATAGCTAAATATCCTTCCAAGCTTCCATGCCGATTCCAAAAACTGCTAAGAAAACCAAAGAGAAGAGCAGGCTTTAGCCAGCTGATTTGCCGCCAATTAGCAACTAAGTGGATTTGTAGACCAAAAGCTTAGCCTCAGGCAGCGCCCTGCTTTGCTTCGGTGGGTTGTAGGTGGGTGGGTGGTGGTGGCCATCGGTCTCGCGTAGGGCCATCGGGCAGGTGCTGGTCCTCTGATGGTGCTTTCGGCTGTCTGTGACGGCATTACGTGCCAGGTTGAAATGTGAAAAAGTTGCCAATATTTATATCGATAAACAAAGTAGGAATAAACATCAGCGATTCTCAATGTTGCACTGCAAGAAAATATAAGGAGTACTATATATATATATATTTTTTATAATTATATATATGGAATTTAGAAGTACAAAACCTATACTTTACATAGTTTTTCCTTATATAATTAAGGGTTTAATGACTTTTGCACTTCCCTTTAATTATTACAGTGTACAAAGAGAGGTCTAGAGAGAGAGAGTTCCATGGTCGGGGCTTAGTCTAAGGCCACGTGTATGGAATGCGTACGTGCTGCTGTTGAAAAGTTGAAAGGGGGAGGGTAGTGGGTGCCTCCTCTGCCTGCCTCTTTTTGGGTGCCTTTTTCACGGGGTTGTGGATGATAGCTAGCTGCTGGGATGGTACTTTAGGCCAAGGGGCAACCTACTGG